ATTAAATCCAGCGTGTTTTAAAACACAAATTGCCTTGGAGGTTGGACCAAAATGAACAACAGAAATATTATTAGGTAAGAAATTATTTTCAGAAATTAACAAATGAGATTAAATATTATTTCCTATGTATCTATTATTTGGATTGAAGGGGTTAAAAGATGGAATAAAGAAAGTAAGCTTGTTTACCGGAATTTAAATATTTCTATCTATCACGTATTATATTAATGTTTAAAAATAAATTTTAGCTCCTATTTTGTAAATTTACACATTCCTTACACAGATTCATTTATCTACTACCCACAAATTTAACATGTCCGCGCCGCTACATATTTCAACTACAAATTCTAACTAATCCTTACCCATTTAAACTACCACTGATGTTAAAATACTACCTACATCTACTCCATCCCCTTTTTAAATACCACCCACAATTTTCACCTAAATATCTACTCCTCCCTGGTTAACGGCATGATTGTAGTTTATCAGCTCTTTAAGATATATTTATTAACCTTTTCAATATTTATATATATTTAAGTAACAATTTAATACCACAGAATTAATAAATTGTTTTAAATAAACACTTTTTAGTGTTCATTTTTGCTACTTTTTTTTTAACTAAGGCGCCTTTTGGCCAACACTTTTTCAGTGACCAACGTTGGCAAATTATTGAATGAAAATTGGTATGAGTTGATAAGCAATACGAAGGACGTTTTGGTGTACCTCTAAAATATGTAAATTCACGATTAAAAGATACATAAATTAAAAAGTTGTAAATACTCAAGCGTAAGTGTAAAATATGCAAGAAATTGATACTCACAAATCTCCAAATAAATGAAGTGACCAAAGAAAATTCTCTTTGTTTACGAACGCACAACCTTTAAAAAATTTAAAATCAAACTCAGCGTTGCTACTGCGCGCTCCAAAAACAATAACTCATTTTCAATAGCATTTTCGGATACAACAATACATATATTTTCGTTGTCCTCTTATTACTAAGAGAAAAAACAAGAACAACATCTATTCTATACCTGAAGATGTCTGTAGGAACAGACGAAAGCTTGTAGTAAAAATAAGAACTAATACGGCAGAAATTTATGGAAACAAGGATCAATTCATTCATAACGGATTCGGAGGTTTTGTATATTATTTGAATTGTTTGCGATGATGGATTTCTCGCCAATTAAATCATTAACCTTTTGCTTTTGTTTTGTGTGAATAATTCATGAATATATATATATATATATATATATATATATATATATATATATATGAATCTTTGTTATCCCAGGGTCTAAGCTAATAGAAGAGGTTTGTTGCAGTGATCCTCATCAAATTGTGGCTTTAGTACATTTTTCAAAACCGAATTCCATTCCAGTGTCATGACTGAAACATTTTACTGTTTTCAGGAAAGCTTCCAGCTCAATGTCATTCCTAGCATATAACCTTAAGTCATCCATGTAAAATAGATGGCCTATTTTCTTTTGAGATATCTTATAGCCGTATTACGTCCTGTTAAGTTCGCTAGTTAATGCTATTAGGGATATACAAAATAGTAAGGGAGACAAAGAGTCACCTTAAAATATTCCTCTGTTGCTGTTTATTTCATCAGACTTCATTTATATGATTGAGGTAAAGTGTTGTTTTCTATATCGACATATTTGGCTTGGTGAACCTGATGACGATGGGTGATACCATATATATATATATATATATAAAAACGTTAAGATCCAGCAATGAGTACGCTAACAAATGCTTTACGGTAATCTATCCGAGTAGTACTGAGATTTTTCTTATTGAATCAGTTTTCCAAGATCATCCTATTAATAATTATTAAATCTTTTCATCCATAAGAGCCAAGTTTGCACCCCTTTTTGGCAAGAGTTAGTATGTCATTTTTTTTCGAAGAAGGAATATGTCTGTTTTGTCAGAATATATGTCAATTGTTTGTAAGTAATGAGAAGACATGTAAATGCGCTTTAAATAAATACTGGCAATCATGTAAATAATAATAATTTATTATTATTATTATTATTATTATTATTATTATTATTATTATCTTTGATTTTTGTTGTTAACCCATTCCCTCCCGGGCTTCAACCAGAGATCTAAGGTCAGAAATGACATCATGACCTTTTCCTCTGTACATTGATGTAAAAAAACAACCTACAAGCATGTACATATTTTACATAGATAAAATCATTCGTAATGTGTGTACTGTGATTGTAAAAATAATTTTTGCATTTTCTTAAGACATGGGCTGTCAGGTGTCCCTTCAATGAGTCTATTAAAACTCAGGACCCCAACCACAACAGGAATTATTGATGTCTTCAAGTACCACATTTGTTTAATTTCCACTTCAAGATCCTTGTATTTTAATAGTTTCTGAAGATCTTCAAGGCAATATTACAGTCTGAAAGAACTTCCATGTCAATAAGAAATCACATTCTGTTTTTATGTATCAGATTTGCAATAATTTTAGTCACATATATGTTCACTATTCCTAACATCCATAGGCTTAGACCCACACTCGCTCATTCTCGTAGGGAAATAAAAAAACATAGATGAATATTCGCTAGTTTATACTTACATATGTATATATGTATATGCTTTGTATTTTGTCAAATTATGCACACTTGTGTGTGGTGATGCTGTGCGTACATTTGCATAATTACCTTTTTTATATATATAATCGATGTTTAAAATTATTATACGTCGTTTTATTCCGATTAATTAAGCCTTTTAATTTACACGATGTTTCAGCCACATACAATCTGGTCTTCTTCAAGTGTTGTTTTCTTGAATGTTGCCGAATCTTGTTCTGTGTTGTGGCAACTGCATTCTTATCATAAACGTCACATCCGGTTTTTTGTTTGTCTGTTTTTCAGAGTGTCTTCTCCTGACCTCAGTAATGATCACTTAATTTTGAACTCACTCACATCTTTTGTGCCATGTCTACGGAAGTCCAAGTTAATTGTGTATATTTTCCTAATTAATATTCAAATGCTATTAATGACTATCCGAAATGTATATGTAGTTATATTTTTCAGTTTTTTATTTGTTCTGGCTATTATTTTGATTTCACTTCACAGTAATTTGTACATTACCTTTTTTCTCCACGCATGGTCAACTATAACACATTTTTAAGTGTTTCCACGTGTTAAGAAGGTTAGGCTTTTTTTTCTGGGGTCATGAGTAACAATTTACACACTGAAATTATTTCACGTCGTTTTCACACGCAAACTTTTTTGTGGGACAGAGCTCGCGGCAGAGCATGCAGTCGTTGGGTGGACGTCGTCCGCCATGACCCTCAGCAGATTAATCTGGTGCTGGTGGCTGTTCCGCCACTATGCCAAGACCGTGAGAGCTGGAGGGACTAAGGTGGTTCTCGTGGGCCCAACCTCTTCATGGCATGAGATTTAGCTGCAGCAACGGCTTTTCGATGTTTCATAAGTCTTATTTTTAACAATCGAGGTATGTACAAAGAAGACAGTGCAGCTTGAAAAACAAAACTACCCTACGAACCTAACATTAACAGCAACCGCACAAAATCCAAAAGTCTCATCAGAGATATGGTTAAGTATATTGAGACAGTACGTAATGCACACATTAAGACAATATGCAAAAGTGGGCATGGAGTTAGGGTTAGTATAGCATTCCGTGCAGTTGCAGCAGAGAATATAAGGTCGAGACCAGATACCTCCTTCAAATGGCTAGACTTCTAAGCATTGAAATTTGACTCAACAGCCATTTATATCTTGCTTCTTGGCCATAACTGACATCTAACACATTAAAATAAGTGCTCAAAGCCAGCTTTTCAGATAGATAGATATGAAAGAACTGATATAGGTATGTAAGAAACAGTGATTATATATATATATATATATATATATATATATATATATATATATATATATATATATATATATATATGCATATATATATATGTATATATATATATATATATATATATATATATATATATATATATATATGTATATATATATATATATATATATATATATATATATATATATATATATATATGTATATATGTATGTATATATAGTAATGATACAATATGGTAAACCGTATGTAATCTCCAGGAGGATATAGATCCAGGGAATCCTCTATATCAAAAGACAGAGCAAAATTATTATTAATCAAAGAATAAACAAAACTTGAAATACCATGGGTAATAATTTTTATTTCATGAGAGCTCTAAAAACAACTGCTGATTTTTAGAGCTCTCATGAAATAAGCATTATTACCTATGGAATTTTAGTGTTTAATATCCTTAATATATATATATATATATATATATATATATATATATATATATATATATATATATATATATATATATATATTTCTCCAGCAAAAGACATTCATTTCTGTAGTTTAGTGCTACCAGCAAGCAGAAATATTTTCCTCCCGATGATGGCCATTTCGGTCGAAACTAGTCGAGGAATCTAAATGGAATAATAATAAAAAAAACGAAAGAATATTAATCTACAACCCAGTGTGTTCAAAGATTTTAATTTTTTTATTTTCTTATTGTTCAATATATATATATATATATATATATATATATATATATATATATATATATATATGTATATATATATATATATATATATATATATATATATATATATATATATATATATATATATATATATATATATATATATATATATATATATATATATATATATATATATATATATATATATATATATATATATATATATATATATATATATATATGTATATATATATATATATGTATATATATGTATATATATATATATATGTATATGTATATATATATATTGTTCGTATCTCGTATCTCTCTTTCTTTCTCTTTCCCTCTCTCTCTATATATATATATATATATATATATATAGGGAAAGAGAGAGAGAGAGAGAGAGAGAGAGAGAGAGGTGGGGAGATACGAACAGATACATATAAATATACATATAAATATACATATAATGAACAGTGTGATAGATAGATAGATAGATAGATAGATAGATAGATAGATAGATAGATAGATAGATAGATAGTAGTGCTTTCTCGTTGTTAATTACGAAGTTGCTCTCTGGTTTTGCAAGTACCAGAAATATCAATACACAAAGTCCAAGTGTATGTTGACGCGCAATCACTACATTGCAACCTCAAAAGAAATGATCATAATGATATTTATACGATATATGAACGATTAAATGGAGATATATCTAGTATACTGATATAGAATATATTATATGATTCATGTTAATATGCAATCAGAACCCCCCAAAAAAAATGGCAATAGAAAATGAAATTATTGATCTTTTTGCCTCCTATATTAATCATTATTGTTCAATATTTTATGAATAATGCTTATTTTTATATACAGTTTCATGTTTTATCTACATGTTGTTCGATATTAAATTTGAATGGGTGATTTTTTTTACAGCTTATTAAGCCATATATATATTTTAATTATAAGAATAATTCTTTTTGCTAAATATTGCATTGATAAATCTTTTAGATAACAGTATTTTTCTCGATACAAGAGTTACTATTTCCGCTATAGCTGGAGAGAGACTTGTGATGGATGTATACCTTTGCAAGAGTATTTGCAAGTAAATGAATGCGTTAACATTTAAAGTCATTAAAGTTGTAAATTTATATATGCTACAAATAAAGTTTCAATACTTAATTAATTACTGAATACATTAAATCAATAATTTACATAAGCATTTTGTACATACAGAATTGCATCCAGTTATTGTGAATGTATCTACCATATTGCCACTTTAACTATAAATCAACACATCTATATTTACATATAGATATATTTATTTGTAAATATACATGAACGATACCGTCAGTTATACTTAATTATGTACTCACATAAACATGCATGAATACGCGTAAAAGTAAAAAAAAAAATGAAAATTTATCATTTTTTTATCAACTTGGTCCTTATATTTAATATATTTTCCGTTTATACGTTTTTTCATACAATTAAGCGGTATTAATTACATTTACCGGCATGAATGTTCGAGAAATTTCGTAGAAAATATACGTCCTCTGACAGAAATCGAACCTGTATTCCTATACGGAAACCGTCATTTGATCTGACGCGCTATATCATTTAGCTACAGAGAAGCGTCCGGTTAACAAAGTCCAAATTACTGTTTATAAACACACAATCTTCGACGATCTTTCCCGAACGATCGATCATATCTGCATACGAAACGTAACTTAACGAGAAATTGACAACATATAATGAAATAGATTAAGTCCGATAATTACTAATGTTTATTTAGCAAAAATTAATAACAAAATTTGCTTATAACACAAGGCCAAAGAGAGAAAGAGAAAGAGAGAGAGAGCGAGAGAGATAGAATAGGATGGTCATAATTAATTATCCTACTTCAAATATTCCAATTTGACCGGTTGAATGACGTTACCTTCAGTGAGTTTAAATTGGTTCCAGCAAAGGTAAGAACGCCAGAATTAACCAAAAACTTTATGCAAACATACACAACAAAACACAATGAAAATGAATGCAGCAACATTGAAAAGTACTCGTGAGAAAATGAGAAAATAAAATAAAAAAAATAAATGAATATGAACTTTGGAAAATTTACTGATTACATAAAACAACTAATTCAGAAATATGAAAAACTTAATAAAATTTTGGATACACAGAACTTGTCGATATTGTTCAAACAAACATATTTGAAAGAATCATTCCTGTGAAACACATATATATATATATATATATATATATATATATATATATATATATATATATATATATGTGTGTGTGTGTGTGTGTGTGTGTGTGTATTATAATTATTATTATTAATAAAGGAATGAAAAGAGGAAAAGATCATTCCTTTTATTAATATTGTCCATATTAATATTTTATTAATAATGTCTTTGCAGATATATTTATTTATATCTGAACTGTTACATACATTAATATATATATATATATATATATATATATATATATATATACAAACACACACACATATATATATATATATATATATATATATATATATACGCATACAAACATGCATACAAACACGCGCATATATTATACTTTCATGAACATTTTTCCAATTGTCAATAATTTCTAACTCTGTCGGGATGGATTTTCATCATCATCATCATCATCATCATCATCATCATCATCAGTCCCTCGTCTACTTAAATCGTCGGGGAAGAAACAAGCAGCAATCATTCTTTTATACAAGTTTCATTGAAGATGGCTGATAAGGTACTGCGATTAAGGTTTTTATTCACTTTTTCTTGTATTCATACAAGTGTTTTCTTTTATGAACATGAAGCGTGTAAAAACTTTCGGTTATTTTATTAGCCATTGTTAAAGATATTTTTTAATTAAATATGTAAATTTTTGATATATGTGTCTATAGTAGTGGGAATATTTTTATTTTATTTTCAAAACTCTATAAGCAAGCTGTGGTCATATTCATAGTTGATAGTATTGAGTGTTGGCTTTTTGTTTTTTATCTTTAATGCTTCCATTAGCCATTTCTTACATATAGATGAAGCTATTATGATTGTATTATCGACAAGTATATTACGAGTGGAGTTTGGTGAGTGGTTGAGTCATAATTGAGCTATGGTCTGAGATGTAACGTTGGTCTTCTTGATAATATATATATATATATATATATATATATATATATATATATATATATATATATATATATATATATATACATTCATCCACAGACAGACTGTTTCGCTGTATCACAGCTCATCAGTGTGGCTAGACGTCCGGTTGCTTCTAGCTAGGTTGAAACCCGACTGAATTGGCGCCATTCGGGAATTCTATCACTAAGCCAGCAGGGATGAAGGTGAATTTAAGCCTATTAATTTTTAGATAAACACACAGTGACTGAGAGAACTCGATTTACTGTAGAGTCTTGCATTATTAGCCGTAATACTCACTGTTTACAAACCCACACTTTCTCCCCAAAGAGTTCAACTGAAATTAAATTTTTCAGGTGTGTGTGTGTGTGTGTGTGTGTGTGTGTGTGTGTGTGTGTGTGTGTGTGTGTGTGTGTTTCGTTAAAAACCCATGACAAGGTACTGCGGTTAAGTTTTTTTTATTTAATTTTTCTTGTGTTCTTATATATTTTTTTCTTTTCGTGACATAAAGTATGTCCGAATGTACTGTATGTCCGTGCGTTTTCGACTATTCTTTTAGCCATTATCAAAGATGATTTTATTTTTTTTTGCCTTTAAATGAGGGTATGGATTTTTTATGTATGTGTTGTGGCCGTGCTCATAGTTGATGCTATTGTTGATGTGCTGACCGTATTTGAAAAATGAAATGTTCTATATAACAACACACACACACACACACACACACATATATATATATATATATATATATATATATATATATATATATATATATAAAGCTATACATTCAATTAAAAGTAAAAATAAAATCAAATCATCCTTGACAATAGCTAAAAGTATACCGAAAGTGCCCGGATACACAGAACATTTGGACAATTTCGACATACTTTATGCTCAGATGTAGAGTAATATATATTATAAACTGTTACATTGAACATGCAAGTTACCACGACAAGAATGTATATTTGTTTCGATGTCTAATTAGACATCTCATCAGGTGGTTAATATTGGTGGTAATGTTAACCACCTGATGAGATGTCTAAATTACGATCGAAACACATATAAATTTTCGTCTTGTATTACTGGCAGAAGCAGAGAAAAAATAACTCACTTCTGGCTATTTGCTTTCCAGCCAACTTTAATCTGCAAAAATTTAAATGCAATGTCAATCTACTGTCCTCCTGATTACTCTTTCATCTTCCTGCTCATTATTAATGTTTCTGTTCCTAATTCTTCTACACCCTGTAACCCCTTGTGTCTTAGTGGCTTTACTGCCTTTCTTGTGGAACTCCCTTCCAGTTCCATGCTTTCCAACCAACTTTAATCTGCAATAATTTAAATGCAATATCAACCACTATCTACTGTTCTGATTACTCTTTCCTCTTCCTGCTCATTATTAATGTTTCTATTCCTAATTCTTCCACACCCTGTAACCCCTTGTGTCTTAGTGGCTTTACTGCCTTGCATGGGGTGAAACCGATAAAAAAAACATAGATACTGGTAACCAAAAACATTGATTCAAAATTCATATTTTTATTCGAACATTTAAAAACAAAATACAGTGTAACCCGGATGTAAGAGAGTTGTCGGGACCGGAGAAGAAGTCTCTTATATCCGGGTTTCTCTTATATCCGGGTTTGGTCTATTTTATATACATTAATACAGGCTCTAATTTGGGACCAGAGAAAATCTCTCTTATATCCGGGTCTCTTATATCCGGGTAACACTGTATTAACTGTTTTGTTCCACTGTCTTATGTTATTTTTCGCTCAATTTCATACAACACAACCAGTGACGATTCTGGAACTCTGAAAGTGCGTGTGCATGTGGGTGTGGGGTACTTGGGGGCTGAGATTTTTCTGCGAAGTGGTGGTGGTGTGGTGGGGGGTAAATTCAAGTAGATTCTTTATTTTCATACTACACCACTATCGTATACACAACTTAGGAATGAGTTTTATTATAAGTATGTTACTTCACTAAATTAAACAAAAAAACTTTTCATTCATAGTGTAGTGGAGTTCTAATCTATCCTTGCCTTCTTTTCCACTCTTAAGCTGTTGGACCACAAGAGAGGTTAACTTCAAAACAAAACCAAAGGGTTAACACTAACGTCAATACTAGCAGAACAGTGTAATTTGTCTGCTCTTAGAAAAGTGGAGGTTGGGCAACCGAGGGGCCAGCCAATATTCTGGGGAGGGGCACTGGCCCATTCCCCCCGCCTACGTAGAATCGCCTCTGAACACCACATTCTTATTATACCGACTAAAAGCTACATCAGATTCCTTTTGCAATCTTTCAGGGAACTGAATTTAACCATTAGTGA